AACCCTAAACCCTAAACTACGGCTACCACTACTGCTACGACTGCGAAGCCTCGAGAATCGAGTTTGGCGGAGCTCTGGAGCCCAAGGCTGGAGCCCAAGGATGCAGTTAGTGCTGAAGGCAACAATACCGGGAGCTTTTGGGCTTAGGGGTTGGGGTTACGGGTTAGGGGCTTGGGTTTAGGGGTTAGGCTTTAGGGGTTTAGGGGTTAGGGTTTATGTTTTAGGGGTTGGGGGTTAGGGTTTATGGTTTAGGGGTTAGGAGCAATTTTTTTCGAAGCTGGCTTTAGGGTTTAGGCACACCATGAATCCGCTTGTCTGCATGTTTGTTTCCAACCAGGAGATCTAAGCCTTGGAATCAATTCGAATGCCAAGCGCGACTGTTTCAATCCCTCATGCTCGCCTGGTGTATCTCGACGGAAAAGGCTCGCTCTAAACCAAAACCGCTGCTCAAACGCCTCAATGATGTGAAGCCATAGTCTATAGCCCTTGTGGACGCATCATAAAAACAGTATGTCTAGAAACCCTTTCGCTTTGTCGGCTACGCCATGACTGACAAACACAAACACCGCTACCAAAGCTGCTCAATGGAACTGACAGACACCCAAAACGGCAGACTAATAAAAAGGGGGGGGGGGGTGCTGACTTACTGATGTGATTGGTATTGTAATGATGGCTAAGACGATTGCTGTTAATATCAGTGTGATTGGTGTTAACACTGTTATCATTATGATTGCTATTCTAGCACAGCTTTTTATGGACTATGAGGCAGCATTGTTGCAGCTCTGGTGGCGGAAAGGTCCAGCGCACCATCATCGCCGCTGAGGTCGCCTGAATAGTACGAGTTAGGATCAGGGAAACCTTGGGGATATAGACCCTCTCAATAAGGTCCCGTTCACGAAAGCCAAAAATAGGGTTAAGAAGGGTCCTCTTCAAGGGTCAAGGGTATCCTTAATACTACCTAGGAAATGATGAAAACAGGGCCTCGTTGTGTGGATGGTTCTTCAAATTGGTTCCACAAGGGCAACTGTGAGGGTTTGGTGGGGGCTTTAAGAATTTTAATAGAGTGCTGGGGATATCCTACGGTGGTAGTACGGAACCCGAAGGAAGGATTATTACTAGTTGTTCAAGCTTTTGCTTGACTCTGTTCAAATGGGTCCAGCTTGAAGTAGAAATGCCATTTTAGTGCACTCTTCAGGACAAGGAAAAGGGAGCCCTACGATCTATGTTCATGCCTGTACCAGTTCATACAGAAAGAGAACGATGATCCTAATGCTCTTTCTTAGATGACGTCCTTAGGGAAATTCTGGGTTTAGGGTCGGAAAAATCTGAAACCTAAATTTCTGGCATCTATGCTAGGTCGAAGCACTAGACTCTCACCTCTAGACATCGAAAGCCCCGGCTTACCTCCTTAGGCAGCTGAAAACTAAACCGCCATCACTACTATTCATCACTGCGCTTGCTGCATCTGCCGCTTTAATATTGTGTATACTGAACTTACTGCGGTTTATCCAAACGAGCAAAACCTAGGCTTAAAGACAACACCCTAATCCCTGAACCTCAAACCCATCCTCGCGCCGCAATTTTGCTTTGTCTTGAAAAAACCCTAAACCCTAAACCCCTAAACCGTAAACCCCCAAACCCTCAACCCTAAGCCCCTAGAGTAACCCTCAACTTCTTAAACTCTTGCTTTGCCTTGGAAAGCCAGGGCCATCAGCTGCTCTTCAGTGCGGCAGCGGGACAAGTCCAGTGCCTTTGCGAAGAGAGCGAGGAAGCTTTGGGGCCTCTCCTGTTTAGGGGTCTGGGGCTTGAGGGTTTAGGGTTTAGGGTTTAGGGTGTAGGGTTTAGGGTTTCGGGGGCTATAGGGTTTTGCTGGCTTGGGGCCGAGGGTCTGTGGTGGGGTTATTGGGTCTTAAGTGTTATGAAGGAAGGCCGGTTGCACCTTAAGGTCTCAGTTCTGAATACCTATCTTTGCGAACCTACACTTTTGGGGGTATTCAAGTCGTGTTGCCTCTAGTCTCGTGCAGGCAAGCGTCTGTAGCCCGTAGCTTAGCGCCTAAACTGCCGAAGCCCTGAATCCCAAACCGTGAAGTCGAAGCCCCCAAACCCGAAGCCGAGTCTGGTATGTAGAGTCTTCGCATGGCTCAAGGCACTGGCTTGAAACGCCTTTCATGCTTTCAGTACTCCTGTGGATTGTGCACGTAATACGCGACATGCTGGAAGCAGTTCTCCATCATGTGGATTGCAGAAACACAATCTTGCCTGAGTTGGATCCATGTTCGCGCCTCGACAACATCACTTGATGTTTATTTGGGCTCCGGGTTTCCGGACTGCGTACTATCTTAACAGGTCACACGTTGGTAAATGGCCGCGTGGTTTTTCCCAAGCAGCATATTAGTCGAATGTGCTTTAAACCCACACCTGCCAGCAAATTTGAGTAATTTGCATTTATGTTTATTGAAGTGACTATGCAGGATCTTACAGCCTTGAAACTTAGGGCGTTGCTTTCAAT